GGTTTAGTGTTGAATAAATGTTCTAGAATAAGAAAAGACTTGCTATGTGCCGTCACACTGTTTACTCTTTGGAAAGATAGATCTGTCCTGGTGAAATGTCCTCAAGATGTTTATGGAGTCCACAAAGAAGAGTGGTCATTACAAGCAAAAAAATTGTAGGTTCTTCCTTCTTTTCACTAAACTGCATCCAGAATTTAGTTGCTGAAATGAAGACAGGAACTAGTTAGGATTTTTAAAAGTACCAAAGCTAATCACGAATGTTAAATACCTGCCTGCTTTGGAAGTCTCTTTACACAGCCACTTTTATCTTTTGGCACCAAAACCCTATTTGGCATCAGTCTTTCTATAGCCATCCCAGAGGAATAACAGCACCCTAAGGTGCCTTAATGATAAATAATCTTTGTGAATACTTTCCTCTGATTATTTCTCCTTCTCCATTCTTCCCTGGGATGCTGCTGACCAGCTGCTGTGGTACATTACTTTAGCAATACTTTGTTTTACCACGACTCCTCTCCTGGTACCGCAGATAGCATTCACAATGGCATTAGCACAGGTGCCAAGGTGGGAGGGAAAGCTCAGTTCCCTAGGTCTGCTTAGGAAAAGATCTTTTTTGTCCATTTCTTTGAATGCTGAAGGGTGGCATCATCTGTTCAAAGAAAGATACAGCTCCACCCAGCCTATGTTCTGCCCCAGAGTTGACCATGCAGACTGGGAGGTGAAAGGAGATCTTTGTGAAGAAGAGCCAATCTGGATTATGAAAGAGTAGCCCAAATCTACTGAAACTGTGTTTCTGTGTTCCTTTTGCTTCATTTTCTTCATCAGACACGTATCAGCAGGTTTTATGGGATGCAGTTTGGATGAAAGGTGTTGAAGACCATACTGATTTGTTCTCCAGATGCCTTTTAGGCCCTCAGCCTGAGATGCAGCAGTATCTGAAGGATACTAAGCCTTGTGCAGTTGACACACCAGAGGGATGGGATGCCATCCAGAGGGACCTACACAGGTTGAGCAGTGGGCCCAGGTGAAGCTCATGAGGTTCAGCAAATCCACATGCAAGGTCTGCACCTGGGTCAAGGCAACATCCACTACCAATACAAGCTGGGGGATGAAAGGATTGAGTGCAGCCCTGCTGAAAAAACATCTGAGGGTGCTGGTGGATGGGAAGCTGGATATGAGTCAGCAATGTGCCCTTGCAGCCCAGAAAGCCAACTGTATCCTGGGCTGCATCCAAAGCAGTGTGGACTGCAGGGCAAGGGAGGTGATCCTTCCTCTCTGCTCTGTGCTGGTGAGGCCTCACCTGGAGCGCCAGATATAGAGTCCTCAGTACAGGAGAGACATGGAGCTGTTGGAATGCGTCTAGAGGAGGGCCACAAAAATGATCCCAGGGATGGAACACCTCTCCTGTGGGGACAGGCTGAGAGGGCTGGGGCTGTGCAGATGGAGAAGGGAAGGCTGTGAGGTGAGCTGAGAGCGGCCTGTCAATGTCTAAAGGGGAGTGACAGGACAGAAGGGGACAGACTCTTTAGCAGGGTCTGTGGTGATAGGACAAGGAGAAATGGCTTCAAGGTCAAAGAGGGGAGGTTTATCACAGAATTGCCAGGGTTGGAAGGGACCTCAAGGATCATGAATCTCCAACCCCCCTACCACATGCAGGGCCAAAAAGTAAGTATAGTGAGACACTGGAACAGTTTGTTTAGCTCCTAACAGAGGATGTGCATCTTTTGCTGCCTTCCCATCAGAGGACAGTTGCTAATTCAGATTTCGCTACAGATTGCTGTGCCAGGTTTTTGCTGTTCAGAAGCTGTAGGTTTTCATGCCTGTTTCCTGACTTATCATGACTCTTCTAATAATATGGGAACTTCAACACTGATATCTTTGTAGCCTGATACAGGAGGTCAGTCTGCAAATATAGAAACGATTCTCTTTGCCTCAGCAAAGACAGCAAGTAAAACACAATGTAAACAAGGCAGTTGGATTGCTTTCCCCACCAGGAATATTTGTACTTATGCAGGCGGATTTACTGGGTGTGATTAAATCTCACGCTACAGCTTGGCAGCTGATTAGCTGCAAGGGGCAGTCAGGAATTTCCTTTCTCTTCCAGGGCTGCACACTTTCAAAATCTTCCTTCAAGCTTGTGCCAAGGATCTCAAAGTGCTTTGGTTTTTTAATTACTCTTCATCACGCCTCTGCAAAGAGCAAAGATGAGAGATAGCACAGCCTGCAATGAAGCAGTGGGGAAACTGAGGCATGGGAGGTGGCAGCCGACTTGGGGCAGTAGAAGCTGTGACAAAGGAGAGAGGGACGAACATTACAGCAGTTCTTCCCTGGGATTTCTGTGGGTCTAATGATCTTGTCAGTTCTCAGTACACTGTATCTTTAACATAGTAAAATGCTGGCTGTCTGCAGGAACAAAGTGGTGCTTTGATGTATGTTTTAGGGTATGGTCACCAGAGGGGAAAACATATTTCTCCCCTGTAAAATTTCATTTTATTTACTTGGTCCTTCAGCACACTGTTCCTCTAATTTCTGAGCTGAACAGCATATATAAGCATTGTTTGTTTGTTTGTTTTCTCTTTGTATAGAAAGGCACTTTGCTGTGAAATAGCCTCAGGTGTTGGCCATGGCTGAGGCACAGAACTGGTTCAGCTCCATAAATGATATGCTGCTGTGTCCCTACAGGGCAAATCAGTGAATTTACTGTGTGGATTCACCTTCCGTGGGTGTACACTAAAGGAGCTGCACTGGCTTTGATTGCTTTGCTTAGAGGTACAACCAAAGGGAGCTGGCCTTGCAACATCAAGGAGGGGAAGGAAGTTTTCTTACTAAGGCACACATTGGTCCAGAGGGACCAGTGATGCACAGACGCAGCTCTGGCAGGCATGTTAACCCTTCTCACCTGTCTGTTACTTACACTGAAGATGAAACAAGGTACTAGCCAAGCCCTCACCCTCTTTCTCAGGAACAGAGAAGGGGTCTTTCTGTCTTTCTCAACATGGCTGAAGCTTGAAGTCCAAAGAAAGGAGTATTTTAGACCTCATAGGGTGGAGAGGGTTTCTTTCAGGTAGGATTTCTTATTTTGTGGTGGATAATTTAAGCTTTTTTTTTTTTTTTTTTTTTTTTTTTTGTGGACAGCATCCTCCAGAGGTAGGTTTTGGGTATCCAGAAATAGATATGCAGTCTCAAGTCAACAACATAATGCCTGAAGGGAGACAGGGATTCAAGCATAACTGACAGACCCCTTAGCTAGGGGCTTCCTGTTGTGCCTGCCACTACAATAGGACCAGCTGTCCAGCTGCAGATCTCTGAAGCTCAGGGCTGGAACCAAAGACCAACTTATCAGTCATTTAATTGCCTTAGATGGGTGTCTAAACAAGCTGTCTGAATCTGACCCTCAGTCTAGTCTCAAAGCTTAATTATAAGTAAACAGTATCTTGAGTGCTTTGTAGTTTCTAGCCTTTTCTTCTTGTGTGTCTCTGTGCTGGCATTTGAAGTGCATTCATCACAGTGGCAAATGAGTGCCTGTTTGTTCTGCACATGATGTAATTAGGTATCAGCTGAACCCACAGCATAATGTGATAATTCTCATTCTGATCAGCTGAAGTAACTCTAACAGTTGTGCTCTTCTTACTCTTCTCTTTCAGTTCCCAGGAAGCTTCTGCATGAAACCCAGCCAAGACCAATCAATTACCAGGGATTTCAGAAGCCACATTTTCCACTGCGACCAAGGCTGTTTGATGCCAATGTTATAGGAGACGGCGTGTTTCTTTCTGATGTCCCTCCTCCTGGTGTAGAACGTGCCCTCCCAGGTAACTATGACTATTGTAATACTGGCTCAAACCCTACTGTGGTCTGGTAACTCTTCTCTTCCCCTTATGGAAACTTCTACTTTATCCAGGTTTCTGTTTTGTACCCATCCATGTCACGGTCAGAATGAGAGGTTCTGAGGCATTAACACTGGCTGACTAAAGTGAACTGTTAAACTCACACTGAATTTCTTGAAATAGCAGTCATGGCCACGCATGTCAAAACTTGTCACAGAAGTACTTTGAAGACCCATCTAATACAGTCCCAAATCCAAAGCAGGGCGAACACAGCAGGAGATTGCTTCACTGAGGACAGAGAAGTTTTCAGCTGAGCTTTGAAATGTGATGCCGTTTTCATAAAAATGCAAAGTGGAGAGAGATGAATGAAGTCAGATCTTTGCTATCGAGGGGTAGGTGAGTAGAAGGAAGAGACTGATTATAAGAAAAGGAAAATGGCAAGTGAGCACTTACTGGGTTAGGCAATGTTTTTGCATTGTGTTTCCCAACACGTTGGGGGTGGTGATGACATGACTGCTGGAATTTCCTACCCTGCGCTCCCTGAAATGCAGTGAGGGGGTGGCTGTGCACAGAGCTGCCTTGTGTCTGTCTGTGCTGTAGGCAAAGTTAACTCACAGCCTGGATAACCAATCTGCAGGCAGTTACATGTCAGCAGTGTCACATTGGTCAGTGGAGACCTTACTGAAAAAAAAATTGTCAAGAAAACGAACTTTGGATTAATCTGAAATAAAATCTGTCATCCTGGTGATTTTTTTAAACGAGAAGAAAAACACAGAGCTCATTTTCATTCCTGTAAACATTTCACTTCTACAAATGACACCTTTTTATTTAGTTTTCATATTGTTTATTCATTCATTTAAAAAAAATGCAGTGCTTTTCAAACAAGGATGTCAGTTTAAAATTAACAGCTGAAATATTGTTTCAGAAATCACAAAAGGAAATATTTGGACATTTCTGTAATCTCCCTTCCTGTTTTATTTCTTTTATTAAAACTATTTGCTAAAGTCAGCCCAGTATCTTGAATAGTTTCTCCTATGTTACTGGGCAAACATTCTGCTAGCTGAAATACTTTTGCTCTAATTTGGTGTAAAGTCGCAAGGAAAACAGCCTGAGTGAGTCAGAACAATTAAGAAGAGGTGGACGTGGTGAAGCAGGTGGGCTGCTCTGGCAAATGAGGTCTTCAGAACTAGCAAGAAGAAAGGGGTTGCATTGAAATGTGATCCTGGAATAAAAGGCAGACAAGGGAACCACATAGCAAACCAACACGTGACCCTTATGATGTTTGGTTGTTTTTCCCTCCTGCATAACCCCAGCCATTTTCTGTTTTTCCTGTCTGTTCTTGTACAATTCTGTAGATGACAAAACTAGTTGTGTAGTTTTGTGATGCTCTTTGCTGGAGTACAGTGTATGCAGATGAATGTTCATTGAAAAACTTGTTTGATTGCATCTGTTCTTCGGACAAGTCGGAAGAAAAAAAATGAGACTCTTTACATCTCGCATAAGAGGAGTTGTGCCTTACTCTCTCCTAAAAGACACCATTTTGCACAGCTTGTCTTCCAAGGGATGTTCAAATCTGTTTTTCATCTGAGCCTTTCCTGACTGGTGTAGCACATGCAAACAGGGAAGCCCCTGTGGAAAGTATAGTTTAAATCTCATTCCTAGTGAGATGTTGTGACTGCATTGGCAGTGAGGGGCAGTAGGTATGTTGTCACTAATTCAGAGCTGGACAAGTGAGAGAGTGTGATACAGAGGTGCCAGGTTGCAATCACAGAAACCTCTTACAGACCTATCAGAAACCTGTAGCACCTAACTCAGTGGTCCTTTTAAGATGAGAAATATGTTTACGAGATTATATGCTGGCAGTTCTCTTCCTTTTTGTTAGTTGTAAAGAGATTTTAGATTAATTATTTTAGAACCAGACCTCTGTGTGCATACATCCAAGGGCAGGACTCTCTTGCTTTCACACAAGTGTGTCATTTATAGTGGCAGAAGCTATTCTAAAAGAGTGTGAATTTTCCCCACATCCCTTCTCATATCTGCCATCTGTGTGGATGTCCTGCTGACACTGAGATGGCTTAGATGTCCATGTGAACAAATACATTGAGCTTTTAAGTTCCTGTTATGTGGGGAGAGCTGAATCACTCCATTTAGATCTGTCAGCTAACAGCAGGATTTGCTTGCCATGGTTTAGATACCTACTGCTACATGAGGTACTTTGAAGTACCCAGGGCATCTTCAGGAGGGCAGGGGTTCAGTTTGAAGGAATAAAAAATGTACTCTGCTTCCTGTGGATTTCTTGGTGGGAGTGGTAAAGAAAAACTCAACCACTTGTACAGACATGGATTTACTGGGCAAGGAGAATAAAAAGAAAGATTAGAGGGCATGTTAGCATTTCATAGGGCCTACGTTTGAATTAAAATATTTTCCAAAGGTTTGCTGTTAATTTCCTGCTAGCTGTGCCTTTGCCCTTCTGTGCCTCTGTGCATGTAGTCACATCAATCTCTATTCTCCCAAAGGAAGGGTTTGTGGGGATGTTTTTCTCTTTTGCATCTGCCACCCAGAAACCCATGTTTGAAAACCTTTCTCTGGGGCAGTCATTTACACCTTGGTAGCTTGGTAGGTGTGATTTTCTCAAGGCCATGCAGTCTTCCAGTGGTAGATACAACTGTACCCATGTTCCTCGGGGCTGATCCCTCAGAGCAACACCTGCACATCCATCTCTGCTGCTTCTCCTCCGAGGCACATTAGGGCTTGGCATTGCTGCACGCACGTTCATGCACTCAGTCCCTCTCCATCCAGTATTTCCTGTTCTCTTTGACAGCCCTCATTCTGTTACTGCACCTCTGGGCTGTGCCACTTCCCAGCACGCAGGACGTGAGGTTGAATGTCTTGTCTTGCATTGCTGAGTTAGCAGGGAATGGACACAGACTGGGTGAGCACAGATGATCTCCGGTTGTGCCCTTTGTTTGCATGGCACTGGTGGTATCGTAGGAGGTGGAGCCGACAGTTTCCTGAATTTAATATTTGCAGATAAGTGTAAGCCAGGTGCATGTCTGTGATTCTACAGTGCGCTGCTTGGAGCTGCACACCCAAGAAAAGGAGCCTGAGAAGCTGTAACAGCTACCTTTAAACAATCTCATGGGTCATGGAGCTGGATCCTGTGCACTGGTTTTCGTATATTTAAAACAATTAGTGTTTTGTGACCAGTGAGAGTGTCTGCCAGCAGATCAGCGTGCAAGAAGTACTCGGCAGCGAGCTGATAAGGTCTGAAAGGGTCTCTTTGAGCCTCCTGGAATTCTGTGCCTCCTCAGCTCTGGTCTTCTACAAATAAAATCAAATCATTAACTCATGCTTGCTCACCTCTCCAAAGGGAAATGAAGTCTGGGTGAAACACAATGCAAGTGAGCTTCTGAAGGCAATCATAAACTCAGATTTGCCCTTCTCTGCAAAGGCTGGGGAGAAAGTGTTGTCTGTTTGCCAGGTGCGGATGGATCACTGCAGCACGACTCCAGCAGAGGGTTGCCAGCTTTGGCTGTGTTTTCCGTGCCCATGTGCAGACTTATAACAAGCTTAGCTGATAAAGGTTCTGTTGATTTACATAAGATAAAAGAAACCTGATCCTATATTTGCTGTAACGTGGGTGGGTGTGTCTAGGCGGTGACATGAAAGAGCAGGAGACAGTGGAGAGAAGATGCTGTTTGGATGCAGCCAGGGCATGGGCTCGACTGAAGTTAACTGCAAAGGTTTTGTTGCCCCAAAAAGGGGAGCAAATGTGGGTGGCTTGGTGCTGAGCAGCTCCAGATCTCTGAACACAGATGAGGATAGGTAGGGCAGGACAGGGTTGGTGCACGTGCCTGGTTCCTCACTCCCTTTCTGTTTCGAAGCAGAGAAGAACAAAGGGAGGTTGGCCACCTACTACCCTCTAGACAACACCCCCTTCCTGCTTCCTGTGGATGAGACACAGCCACCGGCGTTCACCAGCAGCATGGAGCCTGTGGGTGTCAGCACAGAGATGGCATTGCTCAGCAACATCCTAGCAGCGTACGCCTTCATCACAGGTAGGTCTGGTGGCTGCCACCTCTCTGCACTCCCACGGGCTCCTTGTAGACTCTGCACTGAGCCCTACATCTCACTCATTTACAGCTAAATTCATTTCTTAGAACTGTTGGTATTTTTCATTTGTCTCTCAGTGAATTCTGCCTTGAAAGGCCTGGCCAGGGCAGCTCTGGCAGACAACACGCAACAGGGTTTATGGTGCTCTGCTTTCCCCTGGATTTGCTCTCATCTGAAGTTAAATACAATGTGATCTTAAATGTGGTCTTATTTCTAATGCTGTGTTTTTCCTGAAGATCAAAGCCTGGCACATAAGGAAGGCAAGCTTGTTGTCCCATAATTTGGAAAATAAGAGATCATTACCCTGCTTAAGAGAATTTGGCTTATCTTCAGTGGGAATGTGAAGATGAAGTAGCTTGAGAGTCTGCTTAATTATATATTTAAATGTAGTTTAGAGCAAAATTTCCTTGAATCACAGTTTATCCTTCACCCACATGTATCTTTCAAGTAGCAGAGGAATAGTCTTCCTTTTAAGATTTGCATTAAGAAGTTACTCTTGAAATAGAGACTGTGTGCTGTGTTCAATGCTTGGACTCAGTATCATTGAGAATAAAAAGTCCAGTAGAGGCAGACAACGTAGTGCAAATATTTTCCATCTTGTGAGGTGCCTTGTCAAAAGTAGGAACTGACTGCAGAACTGGAGGATCCACCCCCCACGAAAATAGCACTGGCTCTACATATTTTAGGACAATCTCTTGTGCTTTCTGCAGAATGAGGGTGCTGGTTTTTTTACTAGCCTTCTGTGACATGCCATTTACAGTCAGTTTTTCTTATGAGACTGCAGAATGTTCTCCATTTTAATGAAATGTTTGTATGCACCTTGTTGGTAATACTAATGTACTGCTCTTTTAGTACATGCTGTGAATGATTCTGTGTTCTATAGCCAATCTACTCACACCACCCTAATGCAGTTAAGCTGGGATCTGTATAACTAAAACTGCGTTCATGAGCAGTAGTTATTTCACGTCTTTGTGACATTCAGCCTTACTGATTCAGTAAATAGTAATGCATTCTTGGTGCCCTGCTCTTGCTGAGATACCACCATGCTGCTACAGACAAGTATTTGGATTTGAAGTAACTAACTTGGGCTTTTCATTGTGGAATGACTAAGTAGCTTAATAAGAGTTTTTCTGCATGTTAAGTGAAGGATCCTTCTAAGAGGACACGAATATTGAATGCAAAGTTCTGTTTTTCTACACATTGAATGGTGTCATTGAAATTGGCTCTTGGTGACACTTTAAAGAAGCTGGCAGCCTAAATGCAAGTAGTGATGTTCTTCACAGAAGATGACTGAGTGGGATATATTTTTGTTGCTTGGACTTTCTAAGGAAAGATTAGGGAAAGGAAACATTAAATGTATCTTCTGTCTATCATACTTCTTCCTTCTCTTACCTACATCTATTTTTGCTGTGAAAGAAAATGCCTGTATTCTCAATGCTAATAGAAAATAAAATGCTGTTAACATTATTTTCCCCATCTGCAAAGTAACGGGTAGCAGAAAGTTTTAGGATTTATGGTAGGGGCAGTAGTACTAAGATTTAGGACTGCTGACTTTGCTTCCATTTGCTTCCACAGCACAACTCTTTGACCTTGCACTCATTTTATGGGGCACAAGGCCTCGATTCATCTCCTTGCCAAGGTGTCAATCTTGGCAGGAGCCTTTTACTCCAGAACAAATAGTAAATCACAGGATCACAGAATTGCAGGGACAGGAAGAGAACTCAGGGGATCATCGAGTCCAACCACCCTGCTAAAGCAGGTTCCCTGCAGTAGGTCACAGAAGTAGTTGACCAAGCGGGTCTTCAGTATCTCCTTAGAAGGAAACTCCACAGCCTCTCTGAGCAGCCTGTTCCAGTGCTCCCTCACCCTTACTGTGAAGAAGTTCTGCAAGTTTGTATGGATCTTTCTATGTTCAAGTTTTCGGCCGTTGCTCCTTGTCCTATTGGTGTGCACCACTGAGAAGAGCCTGGCCTCATCCATTTGTCTCCCACCTCTCTTTAGATATTTATAAATATATATCAGATCTCCTCACAGTCTTCTTTTCCCCAGGCTGAACAGACCCAGGTCACCCAGCCTTTCCTCGTACAGGAGATGCTCCAAGCCCTTTATCATCTTTGTGGCCCTCTGCTGGACTCCTTCTAGGAGATCCCTGCCTTTTCTGAACTGGGGAGCCCAGAACTGGACACAGTATTCTAAATGTGGCCTCACCAGGGCAGAGCAGAGGAGGAGGATCACCTCCCTCAACCTGCTGGCCACGCTCCTTTTAATGCACCCCAGGATCTCACTGGCCTTCTTGGCCAGCAAGGCACACTGCTGGCTCATGGCCAACCTGTTGGCAACCAGAACACCCAGGTCCTTCTTTGCAGAGCTCCTCTCCAGCAGCTCATCCCTGAACCCATACTGATACATGCAGTTATTCCTCTCCAGGTGCACTTGCTCTTGTTAAACCTCATCCAGTTCTGTCCAACTCTCAGCCTGCCCAGGTCTTGCTGAATGGTAGCACAGCGTACAGGTGTGTCAGCCACTTCTCCCAACTTGCTGAGGGTGGACTCTATCCCTTCATCCAGGTTGTTGATGAAGATGTTGAATAAGTCTTGACCCAACACCGACGCCTGGGGGACACCACTAGTTACAGCCTCCAACCAGACTCTGCACTGCTGATAACCACACTCTGAGCTCAGCCAGTCAGCCAGTTCTCAATCTGCCTCACCATGCACTCATCTGTCCTGAGTTTCTGAGTTTCATAACAAGGATGTTGTGGGAGATGACGTCAAATGCCTTGGTGAAGTCAAGGTACAACACTCACTGCTCTCCCCCTATCTACTCTCCTAGTGATGACATCATAGAAGGCTACCAGTTTGGTCGAGCACAGTTTCCCCTTGGTGAATCCATGTTGCCTACTCCTGATAACCTTCTTCTCTTCCAGTTGATCGAAGAGGGTATCCAGAACAAGCTGTTCCACCTTTCTAGGGATGGAGGTGAGGCTGACTGACTTGTAGTTTCTTGCATGCTCCTTCTTGGCCTTTTTTGAAGACTGAAATGACATTGGCTATCCTCCACAGAATTGAATCACAGAATCACAGAATTGTAGGGGTTGGAAGGGACCTCCAGATATCATCGAGTCTTCTTGTTTGCCAGGACCTTTCAAAGATGGTAGAGAGCAGTTCAGCAGTCACCTCTGCCAGCTCTCCTGGCACACATGGGTGCATCCCATCAGGGCCCATGGCTTTGTGTGCATTGATTTTGGCTAGACATTCTCTGACCATCCTCCTCAAGTGATGGGAAATCTTCCTTTCCCCGGATTCTCTGTCATCTCCAGGGTCAGGGATTCTTGAGGGCCAGTCTTAGCACTAAAGACTGAAGCAAAGAAGGCTTTCAGAATCTCCACCTTCTCAGTATCCTCTGTTACCAACATACCCACTTTGTTTAGTAGGGGACCCACATTTTCTCTAGTCTTCCTTTTACTGTTGGCATACTTAAAAAAACCCTTTCTTGTTATCCTTTACCTTCTTTGTAAAGTATAATTCCAAGAGGGCCTTAGCCTTCCTCATTGCATCCCTCAATTGACAGTCTTAACTGTCGTGTTGATGCGGGACTTATTTGCTTACCCTCTTATAAAGTGGTCACCTTGTGATATGTTCAGATTCACTAGATGCCAGATAAGTGGTATAACTCAGACCTCACCAATTTAGCTTCCAGTGATGAGTTCCTGAGCTTCTTGCTCATGTTCTCCAGTGCACTTAACCATGAATGCTGGATGAATTTTAATCTCAACGGTATATAGGTTCAGGTTGGTATTTATCACAAGAATAATTGATGACTGTCCTATGGATTGAAACAGCAGATGCTGTAAATTCTTTTTATTTGCTACATGTAATGTTGTCATTTGCTCTTAGCAAGGAGAATGGATTTGGCGTGGTTTATTTTACTATATGTTAGTATGGGGAGGAGGCTTTATGTTATGAGTTCAAAGACATGATGTGTGACAGGGCACAAATATAACTGGAATAAAACTAAGGCACTGTAAAGCAACCTCTCTTCTTGTTGCAGACTTTGAGCAGCAGATCACTTGGAAATTTTCATGTTTGTCTGAGTTTGCAGCCTTGAAGAGGGCTTGCACCACTATAGCTGTTGATGCCCATAGAGAAGTCCCTACAGTGGCTTAAGAGGCAGGGTGGCGAGGGAGGTTTTGGTTCATACATCTTCCACCACCCCCTGGCCACAGCCTCTGTGCCAAAGGGAAACATAATGCAAGAAGTGCTCTGCTTCGTGACGCTAAAATGTCCCTCAGGTACACTCTGAAAATTGAAACTGAAACTGTGCCATTCTATGAATCTGCTGATCAGGACTTGCCTGTGCTGATGAGTTGGCTCAAAACAATACTTTGCAAAAGCAAGTTGTAAGTAGACAGGGAAGTGACATACACTTTTTTTTTTTGGTTGGGAGGGAGGATGGTGTACACCCTCAGACCTCCTCCAGGAAAAGGAACTTAGGGGCACTTGGTGTTGCATGGATCAAAGCACACGCTTGGAAAGATCTTCCACTCTGCTACTTTTCCTGCCTCCTGGCAGTGGAATGTTTCTTAGCCTGAGGAAAGCAATAAAATCCATGTCCATGCTGGTGTTTGATTCTTCTGCACAAAATGTCAGGATTGGTTGGGAAGCTCTGTTATTTGCACAGTTGGCACGTGCAGAGTCTTACTGAAAACGGAGTGGATGAGCACCAATATTAGCAAAAGCCTCTGGGCTCATTTCTACAATCTTTTTGGTTGCAGTTGCCATGTAAATGTTGGAAATGTTCCTGTTGACAACCAAGGGGTGAAAAATCGCAGCACAGCAGGAAGCAAAGCCTCTCTGCAGGAGAGTTGGTTTTCATTGTCAAATCTGTTTGCAGCTATCACCATGTTTAGGAGTATCACAGCCTGTTAAGTGTTACCCAGCTTCCAGAGCCTCAAAAGCATTTCTTCAGAAACAGAAGGAAAGAGTCAGTAGTGCCTGTGATAAGTGGATTTATCAGCTGATCAGACAAGTGAGTCTTATGCAGAGTGTGGTCCTGCAGAAGGCTGAGGAGTGCCCTTAATTTAAAAGCCAATTTTTGTTAAAGAGTTAGGATTAGAATTAGATGCAACCCCTGTGTGTAAATCTCAGTCCTGTTATTTGTCATGGACCTGATCCAAAACCTGTCTGAGTATCTGGGAAGACTTCACTCTTCTTGGTGACAGCTGGACCTGCCTCTGCACTCACAATCTTCCAGCAAGACCAGAACTGTCCCTTCTATTTATATAAATATTAAATGTCTAAATTGTACCAGATCACTTCCAGTGCCTTCCTTTAGATAGAGGACTTACTCTAGTTTTGTATTCAGGATAAAGGAGTTGGAGGGAAACCTCCACAAATCCCTGTTTTATTCTTCCATAAGCCCTAAACCATTGCTGCCAACCTATTAACAAGGAGCTTCCAAAAAACAATCTGGGGGGGATCATTCCAACTTTTAGACTGCTTGGCCTGAGCTTTCTTAATAAGGGGCTCCTGGAGAGCTTCCTCTGTCCAGCCAGGGGATCTCGGCAGCCTGCAGGGCTGACTGTAAATTCCCAAGAAGATATTATTCCTACTGTTTTTGTGACTGTGCTTAATGCTGAGCCTTTCACTGGGAGCTCTGAAATATCTCTCCCCACTGAGGTTTCTGAGTGTATGAAGCCATCACAGGAAGCCAGCAGCGTTAATGCCTCGATTGCTTTGTATTTATTGAAACGATTTATTATAATACCAGTAACGACCTTGGCCTGTGGCATTTCCTGGGGAATTAATGGCAGTCTGGGCTGATGCTCCCAGCAGATTGTTAGCCCTCAGGAAACAGGCTCCATAATTGCTGCTGGTTTGGTTGGAAAAACAAAATAAAATGTGTTTCTAATTTCTGGGCAGTTTGACTGGATAGAGTTTTGTGTAGAGAGTTTACAGAGAGCTTATATCTTCTGTCTGCAGTGATTAAATTCAGGCTTGAATCAGTGACGTTTTTATCAATGCATTTAGTACAGAAAGAGAAATACTACAGAGAGGGAAGGCAACCCCATCTAAAGAGATTGGCAGCAGCTGGGTCCTTCCAGAAGTGTAGGACTTCAGCTGTCATCCACAGCAGTGAAAGAAAGCGCTCCGCTGGTCAAAATCTGTGTGCTAAAGGGGTAGTGGGGCACACATACACATGAATTCATATCAGACTATTGTTAACTCCTGTTACTGATATCCATATGCTTTTCAAGAGTTTTTGAAATACTTTGAGACGTGTTATTGTGGGCATGATGAATGTGAGCCTCCCTTGAGTTTTAGAAGGTTCTGAGCACCCACTTCTGAAGAGGATGCTGCTTTTTGTTCTTTGCAAGGAGTACGTGCAAAGGAGAAGGCTAACTGATCAACCCCCCATATCCAGGGGGTTGCTGACTTGGCTGCTTCAACTGAGAAAAAAACAGAGCCCTGGTTTTTAGCTTAAGTTGCTCTTTCTGCTGTGGAAAGAGAGATGTTGCTGCGCAAGTGGATTGTATGCATGATAAATGCCAAGGCTGCAGTTGAATGGAGGGTTACAGCTCATGAGGAAGTCCAGACAGTGTCTCAGATGTTGACAGATTAGTTGGAGGAGCTCATAAATGCCAGTGAAGCCCAAAGATTCGATTACAGCCTTTGCACTGCATGGAGAGCTATACACAAAAAGATGAGCAGGGGATGAAAAATGGTTGCTTAAGTAGCAATGGAGGTGCTGCTTGCATATGAGCAGGATACAGTAGCATGGAAAAAGGAGTAGGGAGGAGAAATGAAAAGCAGGACATGGACAAAAATGGGAGAAAAGAAACCACATGTGTCCGTCTCAGGCTCAAACCCATGTTTTTTTATGAGTTGCTTTAAAAAGAGTGAACAGTGGAACTAATGCAACCAAATGAAGCCCATGTGTGTGTAGGAATGTAGTGCTCAGGAAAGTGCTGGGCATCATGTCAGCCAAAGCCAGGACAGGGGCAGGCTGCACTTACTGGCTTCCAGGACAAATGGATCAGTCCTGCTCATTTGTGCTTCTCAGTCTGCATGTCTTTGGAATCCTCCTTGTGCCTACTTGCAAAGGAAGCTTGCTTGCTGCCCTGAGTTGTCCAGATGGAGGTAAAAGGGGATGATTTCCTGGGGTTGTCATGTCTCTGGAATTAAGACTGCTTTAATGTTCACACTGTAGCAGATGGACAATGGCTTTGCTATTGCATAAGCTGGGCTGCAGTTTTTATTCAAGTTCTGCCGCTTGAGTTCAGGATTCCATTAACTTCACTGGGGCCAGGATTTCAGTCAGTCAGATTGCTGCAGAGCAATCAGCACATTCTCCGTGATTGTTCTCATACCCTTTTTCTCTTTTACCTTCTGCTTTTTTGTTGTCACTCTTGTCAAAATACCTTAGTTTAAAGTCTCTAGCTTTGGCCTCCCTTCTTTCTCCAATTACTGCTGCATTTTTTTTCCTTTTCTGCATTGCTAAATGCATCTTTTGCAGTTCTTTCCTCCTCCTTCTTTTGCAGTCTGTCTTTGGCCTCTTTTTTCCTCATGCCTTCCCCATTATCCACTCTAGCAAGTCTCATGTTTTATTAGCCATATTTCAGACTGTCATGACATCTTCCTCTTCCATGGCTTGTCATTTACTTTTGAAATCCATTTGGTAGGAGAGAAGCACAGAACACAAATGCTTCTTGTTCATGTAATTGTTCCAAGAGCATCTTGGGGCATTGAACATGCATTGCCTTGAACCATGCACAAGTTGGTGTCTGGGTTCTGGACGCAGAATCAGAATGATTTAGGTTGTGTGGGGCCTCCAGACGTCAGCTGGTCCAACTCCTCACTCCTGCTGTTTTCCTTTTCTTCTGTAAAAGTTTATTTGAAGGAAATGACTTGGAGAGTGATCTAAAAGCATAGTGTGGGGGGGTGAAGGTAAAGCTGAGTCTTGTAGTTTTTCCAGGGACCAAATAATAGTCTTTCAGCTGGGGGGATCTAGGACAGCTTCATCTCTGAGTTCAGGGGATTAGGCTCATCTGAGGAGTTGACTCCATTCTTGAACTCAGGACTTCCAACAGACACAGCAGAGCAGAGCTGGCTGTGACACTTCTGCTTGGTTCATCTTCACCCACTCAGGGTGTCTATGAATGTGAAATATGCAGAGGTGATGTAGCCCAGGGCAAGTGCAATAACAACATTTATCACAATTACACTTCTTAGCAGTCTCGTGAACCAAAAAACACCACCCTGTAGTAAATAAACAAGGTAACCTGGTTGAAAAGGCATTGTGGATCCTTTGGAGTCTTGTTGTATCACCCCAAAATGCAGCTCTGCAGGACTCATCGTGTCAGGACGCAAACCTCAGCAGTGCTTCTGTAGCACAGGTATTCTTTTTGGTGGTCTGGGCAGTAAGCCAGCACACTTGCCTTGGATAAGCAGAAAGAAACTTATGAATAAATAATATGCATTTTTCCATGCTGCAAGGCTTGCCATTTCAGCTGAGCTACAGCACCGAGAGAATGTAAAGCTTTATAATAAACTCTATTCTTTGTACAGTGATAATGGCTATGACAGAAAGTTGCTTCTGCTTGCGCCGTTCTCAGGTTTCAAGGCCGTTCCTGTAGCAACTGGAATTAGCACTTAATTCATTTTTCAATTCAATTTCAATTCAATTTATTCTTCCAGATAACTCCAAGGCACAACTGCAGCTAACCTGCATTCAGCATGTGGGTCACTGCCTTGGCAGCAGATCCACCACGTAAAATCCCCTCCCTGGTTTCCCTGGGGAGAGGAGGCGAAGGAGGGCTTGGAAGCAAACCATTAGAAACTCTGCCCCTCTGGAGACGATCGCTGGTGTTTGCACAGAGGAACAAGTCGTGCGTTTTGTTTGTTCAAGAATCGTTCTCAAGCACTCTTTCCTTTCCCCTTTCAGAAAACCCCGAGCGGGCCGCTCTGTATTTTGTCTCCGGGGTGTGCATTGGACTCGTCCTGACCCTGCTGGCCCTGGTGCTGAGGGTGTCCTGCCGCACAGACTGCAAGCGTTCCTCCACCAAAAAACCTCCCCGGGAGAGCGACAGTGACAGCAGCGACAGCGATGGGGATTCGGACAGCACGTCGGACGTGTCGGCCCGCAGGCACCGCAGGTTCGAGAGGACTTTGAACATGAATGTCTTCACTTCTGCAGAGGAGCTGGAGAGAGCGCAGCGGCTGGAGGAGCGGGAGCGCATCATCCGCGAGATCTGGATGAACGGCCAGCCCGACATCCCTGGCACCAGGAGCCTCAACCGCTACTACTGAGTGCTGGGAGCCCGGCCGTCCCGCTGCGCCACGGGGCTCCTCCAGCCATGCCTGGCAGAAGGGAGGTGCTGAGGAATGCCGTCTGGGTGTCTCCTCTTTTCTTTCCAGGAGTGCTGTGCGATGGACAGCAATAAAGCTTTCTCTGTCTCCTTTTCCCTGATGTATGACTATCACCCCTCTTCATGGACACCTTCTGGTCACATCAGAGGTGGCTGCCATCTTCATTTCTGAGTGGCTGGCACAGAGCTGACAGTTTGAGTCCTCTGTGTGGGGCACAGAGCTTGGCACACCATGGTGTGAGTATTGCCCACTTGGCTGGGGAGAGAAGTCATCCAGGTTTTGGTCTTCATTTAGGAGTGTTGGGATTTCCTTTCCTGTGGACTCTGGGAGAACTGTGAACAAAGCTACAGCTCTGGAAAGATGACTGGGGAGGGCAGGGGGCTACATCCTGATTGACCGTCTTGTGACTTCAGAAGCCATGAGATAAACCCAATTAAAAACCAATGGCAAATATGACTTGTGAAGAACTGGGGGGTAGGGGGAGTGTTCTTCCATAATGAAATCATCTCGGTGCTTGGATGTTTGCCATAGTGTATTCAGTTATTTATGGCTGTCTTTTCATATTCCTTTTCAATGGGAACATTGTTTTTTTAACCAACACCTCAGGGATAAAATCCTTTTTTTTTTTTTTTTTTTTGAGTCTGTTCTCCCCACTGTTCCCTGTCAAATACAACCCAACTCACCTCCAACAGTGAAATTATGGTAGTATAGAAGATGTGTCAGTGATTGGTGAGATGTTAACAACCTCAAAGAGGTTGAAAAGGCTTTTCATTTTGTTTGTTTTGTTTTAAATATATATATATATATTTGAAGATGCTGCACAGGAGTGTGCCTTATTCTTTTTTTTTTTTTTGTTAAACTGAGGTTTTCCTATGGATAGCAATGCACAATGTTTTATATATTTTATTAATAAAAATGAAAAAGGAAAAGGTCTATGTTTACTAGAAGAAAATTGAGACAAAAGAAGCCACATATAACAACAGAATGGGTAATAAATGCTAAATAAATTCTAGTTTGCTTCAGTACATTTGAATTTGCATCCTCACTTTTGATACTTTCGTTGCTCAAGGAAAATGGTTTGGAAGAGTAACACACCTCTGCAGGCAATCCAGGCTGACATGCCTTGCATGCAGGAGCCCAGAGGCACTTTTATTTGGCCTGAACCCATCAGCCTGCTTCTACAGTGCACACAAACAGGAGCAGCTGAGCAATGCATTGCTTCCCAGCAGCCATCCCAAAGTCTACCTGCACTAAGGGAAAGAGTACCAGTAATTTCATGATGCTTTCAGCCTGTACACCAGTCCCAAATCGTACCTGAGCCAGAAGCAAATGTTACTGAAACAAAATAATAAATGGGAAAAAAAAAAAAAGGTGAAAGTGCTCTTCCAGTTGTCCTTGGAGTTTTCAGTGGGTTACAGACACATTCCAGCGGGCCCAGAGAGTGGTGGTGAATGGAGCTAAATCCAGCCAGTGACCTGTCATGAGTGGAGTTCCCCAGGGTCGGTGCTGGGGCCTGTCCTCTTCAATATCTTTATTGATGACCTGGATGAGGGCATTGATTGCACCCTCAGTAAGTTTGCAGATGACACCAAACTGGCTTGAAGTGTGGGTCTGCCTGGGGATAGTGAGGCCCTACAGAGGGATCTGGACAGGCTGGATCCCTGGGCTGAAGCCAATGGGATGAGATTCAACAAAACCAAATGCCGGGTCCTGCACTTTGGCCACAACAACCCCAGGCAGTGCTACAGGCTTGGGGTGGAGTGGCTGGAAGACTGTGTAGAGGAAATGGACCTGGGGGTGTTGATTGATGCTCGGCTGAACATGAGCCAGCAGTGTGCCCAGGTGGCCAAGAAGGCCAATGGCATCCTGGCTTGTATCAGGAACGGTGTTGCCAGCAGGAACAGGGAAGTGATTGTCCCCCTGTACTCAGCTCTGGTGAGGCCGCATCTCAAGTCCTGTGTCCAGTTTTGGGCCCCTCACTGCGAGAAAGACATTGAGGCCCTGAAGTGGTTCAGAGAAGGGCAACAAAGCTGGTGAGGGGTCTGGAGCACAGGTCTTACAAGGAGCGGCTGAGGGAGCTGGGATTGTTCAGCCTGGAGAAGAGGAGGCTCAGGGGAGACCTTATTGCTCTCTATAACTAACTGAAGGGAGGTTGTAGTGAGCTGGGGGTCGGCCTCTTCTCTCGTATAACTGGTGATAGGACTAGAGGGAATGGTTTCAAGCTGCGCCAAGGGAGATTCAGGCTGGACATTAGGAAATACTACTGCTCTGAAGGAGTGGGCAGGCACTGGAATGGGCTGCACAGGGAGGTGGTGGAGTCACCGATCCTGGAGGTGTTCAAGGAATGTTTGGATGTTGTGTTGAGGGACATGGATTAGTGAGAACTGTTGGTGATGGGTGGATGGTTGGACTGGGTGATCTTGTAGGCTTTTCCTGCCTTGGTGATTCTGTGATTCAGTGATTCTGTGATGGGATGAGTAATAAGACTTAGTGTTTTCCAGGTCTGCACAAGACTGCTTTAGCCCACGTGGCTTTGGGATGTGCTCCTCATACTTGTATCCTAAGTATGCAGAATTGTGGCAGTGACCAAAAGCTCTGAACGCCCAGAGCTTTTCCACAGCCTCGTGGGGAGATGGAGGTGAGTGGACCTGTCCACAGGATTACTAAGGACTGGGGAGTGGGGCTGGCTTCTACAGAGTGATTCCTGTTCCTGAGCCTGTGCAGTTTCATATGGCATTATTCAGTATTGACATGGGATGTAATTTTACAGCTGATATTTAGAAATAAAGCAGGAGGCAAGTCCTGAACCCTGGGTGAGTCACCAGGTGCTGTGATTTAGCTGGAATTTCCAATGTGTTGTGTTGTGCTGAGAGGAGCAAAGTGACAGGATGAGGCCAGGGAGATCAGTTTTGCTGGCTGTGTCTTTTCCGCTGTAACAAATACATTCCTTCAACTTTGGTGATTAAGGAATGGCAAAGATTTGGATTTGGAGTGCTGTGTCCTGAAAGAGAGATTGCAAAACTGGTTTTAAAAATGATATAAATGAATAGATTTATGTATAAAACTTTTCCAAATGAATTCTTTTGTCCAGAGGAAAGAGCAAGTGCAGTAAGCCTGAGTGTACGTCAGATACAACCAAGGGATTCAACTGTAAATCACAAGTAAGCCCATGATAGAAACTGATGAAGGATGTACCCTGGGCACTGTGAGCACTGCCGTAAATCTTCCAGCTGAAGCTTGCAAGGCAAAGCAGCAGGCTGTGCACACCGCTTTCAGCTCAGCCTTCCATGGGTATCAGTGTGTAGCAGCGGGCACACCATCTTCACAGTGCATGCAGTACTGCTGTGTACTTACAGCTCCTTTGGTCTCAGGGCCATGCATTTCTAATGAGGCTTTGATTCAAGAAAAAGAAAAATACAATCCTTTGAGCTGCCTTAAATAAAATACTTTAAGTCATTCTTTAGCTATTTTTGGATTTGATCCAAAACTATTGAATAGTTCTAGGGAAAAAACACAATCAAGCTTAACAGGGCAGGAGTTGGCGGCTTGCATTTAACTCTATAAACCTGTGAAGCAACACCACACAGCTGGTGCACAGAGGAGCTGGATTCACTGCAGAATGGAATTGAATCCATATTCTTCATCCCACGAGTGTCTGAAAAGGTCAGTTGTCCCAGTTATATCACCACTGCCTCTGCAGCTCTCTCTGCATTGGCCTCTGGCTTCTTAGGGCCATTTTCAGCTCTTGCTCCATTGACCTCTCCTGCAGACCTGCACTCACTGTTCCCTGACAATCTCACTAATGTGGTGCTGATTGCCTTTCCCATGTCCATGGTGCTGCTCACATCCTCCAGACATTCCAACCAGTTAATAAGGCATGTGTTCCCTTCCAGATTGCTTGGTACCAGCACTTAACCCCTTGCCTGCTGCTGTTGCCAGCACCCCAAGGGCTGCACAAATAAAGCAGATTGTCTCAGCTGCTGTGCTGCCAAGACAGCATACACTCGTGGTGCAGTGGAGAATACAAATTTCTCCTCATGCTGCATGGACTCTCCCAAGTTTCTCGAGGCATCACATGCAATTAATCATCTTAGGCTGGCCCAGAAATCTCTCTGCTCATAGTCATTACTGAGGTCTCAATCGTAGTGAAGTTTTAATAAGGTGATTTGAGATTCTGGTATCACAGAATCACAGAATCATTAAGGTTGGAAAAGACCTTTAAGATTATCTGGTCCAACCATCATCTTATTACTACTGTATCGCTAAACCATGTCACTCAGTGCCACATCTACCCTCCTCTTGTAAACCTCGAGGGATGGTGATTGCACCACATCCCTGGGCAGCCTGTTCCAACACCTCACCACTGTTTCTGAGATGATATTTTTCCTAATATCTAACCTAATATCTAATCTCCTCTGGTGCAACCTATATCTCTTGTCCTGTCGCTGTTACCTAGGGAAGGTGGCTGACTTGTCAAAATATTGCCTTTCCTTGTCCACTCATTAAAATCAGTACAGCTTGCTCTGGATCGACATGGCGCTGTAGCAGAATTTAAGTCAGTCAGTTGCTTTTTGGATTTTGGATTGCCCATCACTGTCTGGACGTGTGCCAGCAATGGCAGTGCCATTGCCACTATTTGGATTGTTGCATAAAGTACCCCTGGGTCACGGGTACAGCGTTGCAGTGAGTTGTGTGTTGGAAGAAACAGGACCACCTGAAAGTTGTTCTGAGATGTGTGTGCCATAGATGCCTACTGGCTCCCTTGTGGTCCTCTTCAGAAGCAAACTGAAGGACAGAAAGGAAAGCAGACACAGTTTTATCCTTCTCAAAGCTAGAATTTTGCAACTGACCCACAGTTTCCCTTGAGAAGTGTCTGCTGGCTGAGGGGAGATACATGATAGACTCCATAATCCAGTGCCTGAAAATGTGGCCAGCACCACAGCAGAGACAGATCTGATGGATGTCATCACTGATTCTCTTTTCCCTCTGCACATGAGTGGGCTTCTCAGAAATGGCCCCAGATGGAGAGAATCCTGGACTAATGTGCTTCACACTGAACCTCCGAGCGGTGTCCTTGTCAGATAGGTGTTGGAGGACACAAGCCTGCTGCCAGGTTTATCTTCACCAATTCAGATGCTGTAGCTTCCTCAAGAATCTGGAGAGCACAGCCACATGCTGATGGCAAGAGGCTGTGACAGTAGAAGAGCATGGCCGTGGACATGGTCAGATCTCCATCACTATTAATACAACCAGTCAAATGTGGCAAGATTTGTAAGTATGCTCTTCTTGGATAAGCCTCCAAGGGGCAATATAGCTTATTAGTGCTGGAGAAACTGGTTTGAACTGTGGGGATATACTGGCTGGAAGTTGCCCATGTATATAGAATCACAGAATCACGAAGGTTGGAAAAGACCTCCAAGACCATCCAGTCCAACTGTGCGCCTTCTACCAACATTTCCCACCAAACCATTTCCCTCAGTACGACATTTAAATGTTGCACCCCTGAGCCTCCCCTTCTCCAGACTAAATGATCTCAGCTCCATCAGCTGCTCCTTATAGGACTTGTGCTCCAGACACTTCACAGCTTTGTTACCCTTCTCTGGACACACTCCAGGGCTTCCATGTCTTTCTTGTAGTGAGGGTCCCAAAACTGAACACAGTGCTTGAGATGGGGATCTGTGCTACCCTTTCTTTTTTGCTGAGGAAAAGTCACATTGTTCATGACACTGGAGAGGATTTTGGCTTTCACTACTTCTCCCATTTTCCTACTGAACAACAAATAGCTGTGGAGTGGAAAAGAGAAATCAAGATCCAGTTCTGTATATTTTTTCTTGTTGATGTACATTGTTCTGAGCAAAGCTGAGTGGCTGCACAGCAAACCAAACCTCAGGCTATGGCTGAGCTCAGAGTACACTCAGTTCTAAGGGGGAACTATTTCTGCCAAGGCCTTCCATCCCTTGCCAAGTGCAATCATTGCCTCTTTGGCACCTCCTGAGAGCTACAAGCTTTTCTCCTTTGTAATAAGCTTTTGTCTTGGAGCACACACTTTCTGAACACAAACAGTGATAGCAGAGAGGAGCAAAGTCAGTTTGTGTGTCTGAGCTGTCAGAAAACACCTTTCCCTTTCTGTTACAACTATATGAAGAAATGATGTGATATCAACTGGTATTAAAAAAAGCATCTTACACAGGATATCTGAATGACAAAGCATTTTTTTAGTTTCTGGTGGAGCAGTGACTCAGCTTGTTAATTTTCTGGTAATGTTTGGAGTCTGACGTTACTTTGTATGGGGTGTAAAATGTAAGATCCCTGCAGCACTG